ACGATCGCAGATTCTCCTAATTAGGTTATCGGCAAATTCATGTCTTGACGGTGGGTTTATGGGAAAAAATGTAGGAAGAGAGAACATCAGAGTTTATTAATGACCATTATTTTTTTCCCGTCTTGTATGTTGACTTCCCTTCCTCGTGCTTTCTCATTCCTATCTTTATAATTTTTTCTTTATTTTCCTTTGCTTCATTTTTTTCTGAATTTTCTTAATTTGTCTTATGCCGCCATACATTATTCTTACTTGTTATATTGAGTTATTTATAGTAATGTTCGCTAAACAAGAATGTTGACTTTAAATATAAAAGGGCAAACAAACATTTGTGACTGATGATGTCGAAGCATTGCTAATGATAGTGATGATATTCATATTCATAATACTATAAACAATAATGATAATGACTTTGATTGCAATAATGACGATGATTGCTAATGGTACTTTAGATACTCCCAATACGAATGATGCTGTTAACAACAATGATAAGAAGAACAGTACCAATAACGATTACAATAATAGAAACTATGTCGGATTTTATGATAATTGGGTAATAGGTATAATCGAACTGAGTGAGGTTTGGGTGTGGTTCGCGTTAACGGTCCATTGCATTATTACGAAATCACTGGCTCATCCTTGTTCTGGCGAATGCACTTGTAATAACAAATAACTTGAGAAAGTACAGGACGCTAAGGCATGGATATACGTAGTTATGTTGTAAACGTCATAGGCGTCACGCATTTAGAATGAGATAGACTGCTGATACTCAAAAGTGAAAGAAGAAAAAGTGAAAGAAGACATCTACCTTTTTTTTCCTAGTTGGATGACCAAGAATATTTGTCTTTCAAAAGCAAGGGGATAAAAATTTAATTAGTGGCTTTTGGATTACAAACATATGACCTCATTCTTAGACGAGACACTCACCTACCTAGTCTTTTTGCATCATGTATCCATTAAATGTGTCTCAGCAGTGTGGATACAGCTGATGAGATACTGGAAGGCCTAGAATCACTCGCTTAGTTAGATGAAAACAATTATGCAACTTTTCTAGGTTACAAAAACTTCTTGCCTTGACATGGTGCCTCTCTTGGTGCGGGGTGCAAGAACATCATGAATCCTTGTGTGTTCATCGGACTCCTGTGCTGTCTCTGGTCCTCTTCCGAGTCTCGCCCTGTGTCCGCTACCATTGGCATTGCTTCGACAGCTGTGGGCGTGGGCGCGGTGGCAGTGCAGTGCTCAGAGGAGCTTTGATCGGAAAATATCTTCAGCGCAGAAATAAGAGGGATGTCGTCTCCTCTGAGGCAGACACGGTAGTTGAGGCAAGTGAGAAAAGGCATTCCCATGTTGTAATATTGTTTCTCATGATGAATAACCGCATATGCACACACACACACACACACACACACACACACACACACACACACCACACCACACACACACACACCACACACACACACACACACACACACACACACACACATGTATGGCTATGCATATCATATATATATGTATATATATATATATATATATATATATATATATATATATAATATATATATATATATATATATGTATGTATGTATGTATAGCTATATAAATGAATATACATGTATATATATATATATATATATATATATATATATATATATATATATATATATATATATATATATATCACACACACAACACAACACACACACACATATATATATAATATATATATATATATATATATATATATATAGAGAGAGAGAGAGAGAGAGAGAGAGAGAGAGAGAGAGAGAGAGAGAGAGAGAGAAAGCCAGAGAGTGCGCGCGCGCGAGAGAGAGAGAGAGTGAGAATAAGAGTTGGGGGAAGACATACAGGCAAATAGGTCAAGGAGAGAGCTGAGCAAGAGAAATGGATGGACAGATAAAAAGTTTCAAGAGAAAAATTACCATCATTATTATCATTCTTATTTTGCGAAAAAGAGTGGCACGTATTATAAAGAATGATGCAACATTTATCAAATTCTAATAGACACGGTACTTTGAATGTTTGTTATTATTTTGTGTGACAAGAAGATTCATGCTGAACACGTTATGATCAAAACAGCAAAGAGAAATCGTATATTTACCTGTATTTCTTTTTTGTCGTTTTGTTTACCCATTGTTTAATAACTAGAACATCTCACCATTCTCTTTACCATGAATTAAGAGGATATCAGTCATTCTCAAGAACTCTTGTTTCAGACGACTTTCGCTGAAGAAATATTTGATATATGAAATTTTAGTTACTGTGATTTTTTTTCTTTCTTCAATTCTTCTTTCTTTTCCCTTCTATTTTATCCCTATTCCAGTTTACACAGACACTGTTGAAGCAAGAGCAAGGTGACGATTAGTCTCGCGCTGTTATATCATTCATTTCCGGAGAAAATCTAAACCAGAGGTCGGCAACCTATGGCACGAGTGCCAGACTTGGCATGCAGAGAGCTTGTCTATGTCACGCCATGTGATTCAGAAGAACAAAGAAAAAGTTAAACAGCAAAATAATATGGTGAGTATAAATCTAAAAACATAAAACCTAACTATTTTTTGTTACAAAGAATAATAAATGCTACAAAAATATTACACATGTGCTATGCATGTGTAGGAAAATACATCTGGGTATACAGTGCTGAAAAAAAACTGGCACGCAAGGTTATGAATAAGAAGGCATTAATTATCAACTGGCACACTACCTTCAAAAGGTTGCCGACCCCTGATCTAAACTTTTAAGATTATTTAGGGGGGGGGGCTGTTTGCTACCAAAGGAAATACACACTCTGACGTCCAAGTAGTTCTGCTGTAAAAGTATAGCTAATTGGCTTGACCTTTATACTAGGACTGGATCGCTTTCACTTGACACAGGTCTTTCCACACAACACACACACACACGCACACTCACACAAAAGAGAAATCAAAACAAATAAAAGTATGAAAATATGTTTTTTTCCTTTATACCTTTCTTACGTATAAAACATCTGTCTGCTTTTAGGAGTAATAAATCGAAGCGGGGGTGGGGTGGGGGGGGGGGGGTAATTTGTTATTCGTGAAATACCCCGTAAACATCGTTATCCACCCTATGCACAAGAACACACGAACAAAAAATCCTTTGTTAACACCATTAATATAAAGTTAACCTTTGAATTATTGTAATAATAATATGAAAAGGGTTAACGGGTCCGCTGACATGTCGATCAAGCTTCGCAAATGAGTTGTTTGGCTGTGGTCTGTGTTAGGCATGGATGCGTCTGTAGGATAGAAATTAGTGATGTAAGTAACACTTGATAATAAATAGAAAAGTGGTAAGTCGGTAGGAACTACCAAAACACACATATTTCTTATGGGTATGTACACCACTTTACGCCTCACACACTGCAGTATTAGCCTATCCTTGGCCGGATAGGCCAAGGATAGGCGTTAATTTCCACTTGAGTGAGATAGGTCCCTCACCTGCGCAGGTCCCTTCCGGACAGTATATATATCGCGGTCCACCACTGAAAGGCATCAGTCCATCACTCCTGCTCCTATCGACTACTAAAAGGTACAGAATCGATATTTCTTGCTTATAGTATCATTATTTTATATGTTCGTTATTGGCCCAGTCTATATCTCTTACATGATCTACATTGCCATAATTATTTTTCATTTAACAGGTTATAACACAAATGATCTGTATAGGTGACAAAATGGCATTTTTTAACAGGCCACAACAGCATCATGAACTCCCGCGTATTCTTGGGTCTCCTCCTGTGCGGTCTCTGGGCCTCATCTGAGTCTGTCGTCCTCTTGGGAACCACCGCCACCCTCGGCACTGTCGCCGCCACCACAGTTACCGCCTCTGCGGCGACCGCTTTGGGCGTGGGCGCGCTGGCGGTGCTGAAGGGAGCTCTTATCGGGAAGCATCTTGCGCGCAGAAACAAGAGGGATGTCGACTCTGAGGCTGACGAGGCAGTGGAGGCAAGTGAAGCAAGGAATTTTATTAGAGTAGTTGCACTCCCAGTATCATCCGATCTATAATTACAGGTGCTATAGCCTATTGTTTACACGCGATTGTGCTCAAGAATATTTTACTCTAGCAGATGTTTCTATCTCATAATGATTAATTATTTCCGAAACAGGTTGCCGTGGCCCAGCAGATGGATTCAGCTGGCTGCGTGGCCAAGCTCTTGTGCGAAATCGAGGCCATGTCCGCTGACCAGCTGACTCCTGCCATGACCTCCTTCAAGACTGCTTTCGAGAACAACGAGAAGCTCAAGAGCGCCCGAGGCGTGTACGATCTGGCCATCAGCTTCGGCTCCAAGTTCGCCAAGAAGGACTCGAAGGCCTGCAGCGCCCTCTTCGAGAAGTGCGTCCTGTCCAGGGAGGACCTCTCCTTCATGCTGGATTCCGTCTTCACTTGCTAGTCATAAGATTACCTGCAGAAGCAGGTAAATTCCCATTTAACAAAAAGAAATAAATTTGGTTCCTGGCAAAATTGCTGGTTTTACCATGTTGTTTGTTGACTGCGTAGGCGTTACTTTAAAGCATTACATTTCATTATTTTGTTTCAGTATTAAAGGAATAAATTATCGATATGACACATTTTGTTTCTCTTTATATTTTTTGTATGCATGGTTTTGTGATATATGATATATAATATATATAAACATATACATGTATGCACACACTCACATATATGTATATATATTGATATATGTATCAATATACCAAAAAGTTTAAACAAAATTCCCTATAGTTGGAAAAATGCCACTTTGTTTTGCAAACATGGCCTGTACCATATCTCATATTCTACAACAAGCAGATTCAGCTTTACTCTCTCTGCGGTCGTAAGGAATCCCACCAAGTAAATGTGTAATACTCATTCCTTTACTTCTGCATTAGAAAGAAATACTTTGACAAGAGTAACCAGACTCTCTCTTAACACCATTGCAAGTGATAAAAGGAGTGTTTTCTTGCCGCGAACAGATAGTGACACGT